ATAGCTAATACATCCTGTTTTTAATGCAATTCCAAATATAATCCTGGTGCCGAGATATTGTATTATTAAATCGTACTCTTTTACGTGGTCTATAGTACAATTGTTTTACGATCTCTCAAAAAGTGTTAAATTTTATTTTTAATCGTGTTAAGTTTGTAGGGTTACATGAATTCATGAAATTAGGCTTGTCAGAATTTATCATTAAAGTAAAAATGACCTATATATATGATCCTATAGTAATTAAGAAAATGTTTTTATTGGAAGTTGTATAACATAAATCAAAGATAATTATGCAATCATACCGATTTTAAACACATCAGAAAAAGATGTTTCGATTTCTATAAATAATATTAAATTTGATTTTTTAGCACAAGATTTCATGCTCATAAATAATATGTAAATACTATCAATTGTAATAATGTTAATACTAATAATAATAATAGATTAACTCTTTTAAATCAAAACCATAAATTAAATCATTTAAACAGTAAAGAAAAGTCGTCTATTAATAATTTATGCAATCGATTTAATGATATATTAATTTTACCCGGTGATAAATTATCTTATACTAATCAAATTTTACTTAAAATAATTACTCCTAATGCTCATCCAATTAATATAAAACAATACAGATTCCTTATGTGTCATAACGAGGAAGTTGATAAACAATTAAAAAATCTTTTAAAGCAAGGTAGCATTGAATAGTCAAATAGTCCATGGAACTCGCCTAGAATTCTAAATTTTATAAAGGAATATATTGTTATAATTCAAATAAAATAAAATAATCGTTAAGTAAAAATAATGAAAATAAGTGAAGGGTGATGGGCTTAGTGAGAACCTGATGTTGTGGTTCTATCGGGGTCGTATGGTTCGAGGGTTTAGAACGACAAAGACAAGTAGATATAAAAATATATTAAGTTCCTCTTATAGAGGTAGAATAAACTTTTGTCTGGTTAGTTTCTAATGTCCTAACTAAGAGGCAACGAAACGGCGAAGCCAGTTCACGAATACCTCGGCAACGAGACGGCAGAGCCAGTCCACGAATACCAGAGCCTAATTTATACAGTAGAAATCACGCTAGGTTTTTTAAAACATCTTTAAGGCAACGAAACGGCAGAGCCAGTTCACGAATACCATATAACGTGATTATGTATAATTTCTTTAACCAACCAGTCAAAATTGACACTTTAAGATATTAATTTAATAAATGATCTATTGCTTTGTCATCCTTTACTCAAATTTATTAACTCCAAATAATTGGGATAACATAAAATTACTTACTTCTTTTATTCTTGTAAATTGCTTGTAAAATGATTTGATAATTATCTCGATATGTTTATATATGTTTAAAAGTATTTAATTAGCACTTCGTCAAAAGATAAATAATTAAAGCAAGTTCTTTTCATATATAAATAAAACGCATAAAAGTCAGCCGACAACAACACAGGGCTGTGACTGATAATTATTACTATTTATTCTTTTTTTAATTCGTANACAGGGCTGTGACTGATAATTGTTACTTTTAATTCGAAGAAAACGAACTCTTTTGGTCGCTGTCACTTCTTCTTTTTTTTCGTCTCTCTGGAGTCTTTCCCTGACTCTCTCGGACTGAAAGGATTTCAGTGTTTTTTATAGTAAAATGATATTACCCCCAATCCAGGGATATTGTTGTCAGCGCTTTTAGTAATCTTTTTAGTTTATTGTATTAATTATGCATTACAGGATTATTATATTCAGATAACATATTTAACAATTGATAAATTGACATATATATATATAAATAATAAGAAATTGTGTTGAACATCATATTTGTTATGACAGATAAATTATTTGATTGTTTACAAGTTATTTAAAATACAGATTATACATTTTTCATTAATAATTGTAAGATGCGTCATGCAAAGCATTGAGCATATTACTACAATATATTTTGTTTTGTCTGTTAGTAAATATATTTTTGATTTGTTTTATACTCTTTTTTTCGTTATTTTCATAAAAATGATAAATTAATTGTTCAAAATAAGAGTTATATAAAAGATTAAATGATCTAAATTATTTTTACCATGTCAGAAATATTTATTAATAATATTTTTTAAAAAGGCACTAGTATAGAATTTACTCAATACCTACAAAAAGTAATGAACCAATAAGTTAATACTTATTTGAGTCATTATGCTATTTTAACTATATGATGTGTTAAGTGGAAAAAATGATACATGATAAATGTATTCGTAAAAAATTATGAAGTTATATTTATGAATAAAATAAAATTACACCTTTCAGAAAAGCTAGATACAAAAATAGTGCTTATTTTTAAAAAATAAATATATAAACATGCAAAATCATGTTTGAGTATCGTATTACTGGCTTGATAAATTAATTAGATTAGAAACATAATTTTAAGTAAAAATTAAAATAAAAGCAAAGTATCAGATATCTTATTTTAACAAATTTTAAAATTTTATATTTTTTTTTGTAATTTCTGAATGTTTAGAATTTATAATACATGATTTCAAAATAAGTTATTTTATGTATTTATGTTATTTAAAATATGTTACATGTTTATATATGGAGGGCTCAGAAGCCAATCAGTGTAAGTCACTAAATATAGAAAATGAGATAATTGGAATTTTTCAAAACTTATAATAAAATAGAGAGTCCCGTAAATGTACTAATAACTTTTTTTATTGAGATATAACATACTGAAAAACTTAAATCTAACACAGTATAATAAAAATGAAGGCGTAAGTTGAATTACCCAACTCAGTTTTCACAGAAAAGTGACTTACACTGATTGGCTTCTGAGCCCTCCATATATGAAAACACTATTAATTATTTATTCTATGTATTATTGTTTTGTATTAACTTATATCAGTTTGCTGTGTATCCCATTGTGACTCAAATGTGTTATGTATTAAAATTTTAGAAATAATATTTTAGATGTTATTTCTCTTTAAGGGTGATGGTGTCGTGAACCCATAATTATTTTGTAAATTTTAGTTTTAAGGAATGTATATGTGACATTATAATTACTATAAAGTATTATAGTATTAATATTTTAATGATTATTTAATGAACGATGTAAATATAAAAGGAGACTTGACCATCTTCTCAGTGGTCAGTATTCTATCAATGAATGTTATATTATAATTAGTTATTATTTTGACTCTTCCGGACAACACTTATCCGCGTTGTCAAATTGGACTTCGAACACCCAGTTTACCACTTATTATTTGGCATCCCTGGAAAATTTGGTTTCAATTGGTTACCACATACGTAGGTAAATTTAATGGGATACTATTCTAAAATAAATGAAATATTTGAAGCGGATTTAATAAAAAGAAAGCCATTTATGCACAACTAATAGTCCATAATAATATATTTTTTTATTGTGGACTATTAGATGTGATTATTATACATCTTGATATAGTAATACAAATACAAAATAAGTATAATATATAAGCTTTGTGATATTGGGGCAGAGCTTACATGATGAATTTTATCATAAAGATTTTTCAACTCATCCTAATTACAAAGTAATTTATCTGCCACTGCTTTCTGTTTAAAATAATTTATAAAAATATTTAGAGGCCAACAGTTTAGTCTTGTACTTTAATACCACATTTTATTTCAAAGTCCTATTAAAGATTCTTTGTACAGTATTAAAATAAAAAATTAAATAAAATTTCAATGAATAATAATTACAAAGAGTTAAAATCATAAATAACCTTGCATTATGTCATAAAATGCAATTAAAATAACAATAACAGTTTAATGATATGCGTTATACATTCATTTAATAATTATTAAAGATTTAAAATACCGCGTATATTTCAACAAATAGAAGCACTCAAAATTTACGCTATCCATCAGCATAATCGCCTGCGTCCATTCATGATAAAAATTAGACTGCCAAAATTGTGTACGGCGTGATCTATCTATATGTATTTAATCTATGATATTGGTTACAAAACGGTCTATACAATTCTGCAGTAAATTACAACAGAAAATTTTCCTATCAAAATAACATTCAAACCACATTGTATATTAGCGTTCATATAACCAAATCACTCTATGCATATGATACAAGGAGCCAATGATCACGATTATAACATAGACCTAACAGATAGAATTCTATCTATAGTTGTGCTTTTATCATATACCAACGAATGATTTTGACACATGATTGCATATTATGTGGTGACCGTCTGGAATGCTAATATGCAAAGAGTTTTATATTATGATGATAGAAAACTCTTTCTCCAGATAATCAAGCCTTGTTATGTAATTCTTTCTATGTATAGCCGTGTGAAGGACTGTGATAAACTTATTGGCCAACATTACCAATTAGATTACAAATGAATAATTGAACAATTGTTATCGTTCTAAAAATTCATCTTTTTCCAGAAATAAAATAGCACAAGTCACAATATTAACTACTGATTTTTATATGAAATATTAATTTTTTACCAATTTTAAATTGGAGTTGCATAAAGATAGATAATTATATTAAAACCTAAAAATCCGTTGGAAAGGTGTTCATTTTACTATAATTAACTACTAAAAATAATTTTAAGAAGCACCAGTGTGTATTATATTTACATTTTCTGACAATTTTCGAAAAATAATATTTTCATACCAACAATTCGCGACCGCTTTGAGCATAATATTTTGAAATTATAATATTTACCTAAAATAATTTATTTCTCTTTCAAATTATTTTAATTGAAATTGACAACATAAGATTTACCACCAATAATAGACAAAATACACACATCCCAGCTAATTATTTTTGTTGATCCATTATTATAAATTAAAATGTATATGTTTACTTACTTTTTTTTGATAATATAAATACAAGAAAAATTTCATTTTAGATGAATGTACCAAACCATCTAAATAAATCAATATTTCTAATATGTATAATTGATATATTATATAATCAAATATTCAACAGAATTTTAATAAAAAATCAATGAAGTTTTAGAAATATCACAAATGTAAAAAACAGTAGTTCTTAATTTTAATTTAAATAATGTATAAAAATTTTAAATTAATATATAAAAATATTAATAATATAAGGAACTGTTAACCTTTATAAATAGTAGAACTATCTAAATTAATGCTATTACATTTTTTAGAAGATTTTTCAAAATCATCTGTTACAATACTTGGTAATGAAAAATTATTATCTCTGTTACTACTAATAGGTTTAATTGTTCGAAGTTCTGTAGTTCCAGAATAACATATATTTACATCTCTTGAATCTAAAGGATGCATTTCCTCAAAATGAATACTATTACTTTGAGGAGTAAGTAAATCAAAACTGCTTTCTGTAACTTTTAATAAACTTCTTTTTTTGTGTTTAGGATATTTTTCCTTTGATTTATTTTCAATGACACATTTTGAATCAGATATTTGTTTTTTTGTTGTTGGCATTATTTGAGATGACAAGTTTTCTAGTTCTAGCTTGCCACTTATTAAATTATTTTGATTACGACATATATTTATATGTGATATTAAACTTAATACTTCTGATGGTATTTCTATATCTGAATTTGAATAGGCTAATTCTAAAACAAAGTTTCCTAGAGTGGAAACTGAAAGTTCAAGACTTTTAACTTCACTTTCTAAACGATTAATGGTAGCTATAGTAGATGAACGATTTGTTTCTAAACGGCTGTTGTTTGTTATTGAAATCTGAAAAGAAATAAAAATTAAAAAACCGTTATAAATAAATGTGGTAAATGAATTTAGGTCAAAATATGTAATCATTGTACTGGGTGTTTTAAGGGCAGCACTGAGATATGAAGCAATATAAATTATAGAGTTGAACACCTATTTTTTTTTTTTGCTCATTCAAATAAAAAACCCCAGCATAGTGGGGTTGTGGCACGGTGGGAATCTGACATAGTATGGTCAAGTTTAATGGTTAAAATCACTATCATAAGAAATGCTTTGATACAAATCTGTAGATAGTGTTTAATTTTAAAAAAATTGGTGGATTATTCCAAAAGCTACATGATCTGCTGTTTCCTTATTTATATTGTGATAACAAGTTTTAGGATTTATAAGTATAATATATGAATAAATATTATAAATAGAAGCCAGATTAGCAAACGATCAATATGATTTCCGGAAGAACAAAGGAACCAGGGAGGCTATTTTAGGTCTGAGAGTAATACTTGAAAAGCAAATTGAGAGACAAAAAATCACTTATATGGCCTTTGTAGACCTAGAAAAAGCATTCGATAGCATAAATTGGACAAGTCTCTTTAAAATTTTGAAAGAAACAGAGATAGATTTTAAAGACAGACATATTCTCTATAAGATTTATGAAGAACAAGAATCTATTATTAAAATTAATACAACAACAGTGACTGCTAGAATCCAAAAAGGTGTGAGACAAGGGTGCCCACTTTCACCTGCATTGTTTAATGTATTTATTGAAAAAGCAATAAACGTCATAAAGCTTTGGTTAATACAAAAAGGAATTGGAGTGAAAATAGGAGGGGTACTAATAACAATGCTTCGCTTCGCTGATGATATAGTCGTTCTCGCAACATCTGAAGAAGACTTACAAACAGCGTTAAATGCAATGAATACTATGTTCAAAGAATATAGTCTGAAAATAAAGGCAGCCAAGACCAAAGCCCTAGTATGCTACAAGAAAGACATACCATATATAAATATAACATTAGAAAACAAAGAAATTATCCAAGTAGACTATTTCAATTACTTAGGCAGCATTATAACAGACGACGGGAAATCAACCAAGGAAATCAGGAGCAGGATAGGTCAAGCAAAGAATACATTCCTTAAAAAAAGAAAAGTATTAACATCAAAAAATATGAACATAGTGACGAAGAAACGGCTCATAAAAACATACGTCTGGAGTGTGGCATTATACGGAAGTGAAACCTGGACAATTAATAAGAAAGAAAAAGATATGTTAGAAGCTCTGGAGATGTGGTGTTGGAGAAAGATGCAGAGAATAAGATGGACTGATAAAAGATCAAATGAAGACATCCTGAGGACAATAGATGAAAAACGAACACTGATTGACATTATAAAGAGAAGGAGATGGCAGATGATAGGACACACGTTGAGGCATGGAGATGAATTGCATAGTTTAATAATTGAAGGAATGATAGAAGGTATAAGATCAAGAGGAAGACCTAGAACGAGGTACATTAGCCAAATAATGCAGGATGCAGGAGTCACTTCCTACAGGGAGCTTAAGATTATGGCGAATGATAGAGAAAAATGGAAAAGCCATTTATTGTAAAACAGTTGTTAAAAACCAATCTTCGGATTGAAAAGTATGTCGTATCAGAGATGTATATAAATACTACTTTTCATGAAAAAACTGTATTGATCCATACATTTTTCAAAAAGTTATAGCATAATAAAGTTAAAAATGTAAAATACAAAATCGAGAATTTTCACACAAAAATAGCATTTTGTAGCCATTTTCGTAGTGATGTAAAAATAAAGTCCGAAATTTTTTTTTTTCATGATAAAGTACATTATATTAGCTTTAATTTAAGATATATATAAAAGTATCAGACTTTCCGGAACATTTTCAAAAGTTAATTTTTTGTGAAAAAGTTGTCATTTTAAATCTCTCCTGTGGGTAGGTTTAAGGTCAGATTTATAAAAAATATATACCAAATAAAAGGTAATGATATCATGCATCTATAAAAAAAAATTATATTGATTTAGTCATTTTTAAAAAAGTTATGGCAGTTTTAATTTAAAAAATATCAAAAATTAGCAATTATTAAATTTGTAATTTTTTTGGAGATTTCCCCCATTTACGGGAAACGAGGACATTTTTTTCAATTTTTGAGGATAATGTCTTCAACTAGATACAATTTGTGATCTTTTGACGTATCGTTGAAAGAAATCGGTTCGGTGAGAGCTGAAAAAAAATGGTAACAGGCTTAAAAAAACACATCATAGTAAAACCAATACCTTTTCAGCTTCACATCAAAGCTAAAAGTCATTTTCAAAAATTGTCTTAAGTTTTTACAGAAATAAATAATTTAAATATTGTATTATTCTACCATCAAAATACCTCAAGTTGTTCATTTAACATTTTATTTTGTTGAACCAAATTTTTGTTGATCTCCTCTAAATGTTTGATTTTCTTAATTTCTGGTTTTGGTGTAGATAATTCTTCTTGTAGTACATGGTATTCAACTCCATATTCCATTAATTGTTTGGCAATATCAACAGTGAAAACCTTATAATTTGATTGAATTATTTAGTATAAAAATTACAAGCAGTCAAAAATCATAATTAAATAAAGCAATTTATTTATCAACTATATGAGATTTGTTACTACACTAATTACAGAAGCTAAAATACTAAGTCCCCTGAACTGACTTTAATTTTAACTTAAGTTAAAATTAAAATTAATCTTTTTATATAGATTTAATCTAGTCTAAACCTCTTTTGTACTATTAGTGATAAGAGGGTAAGGTTGTATTAAGTTAAGATTACAAATAACTGAATTTTATATAAAAAAAAATGTTCAATTAAAAACTGGACATTCTAGATTTTTGACAACTTTATGACTATAAGAAGATATACTAGTATTTAACAAAAAAATAAGTTATGAGATGCATTTGTTAAAAATTATATTTTGGCCAGAATACATTTGTTTATTTTAATTTGATAGCATCTAACTTATTATAAATTGCTCATTTTGGATATACCACTACCATTGACGTAGTTAATTATTAATGTTCTAAAAATATTTTAGGTAATATATTTTATAATATAGAAACAGTTTGTATAAAAAGTATAAAAATAGATGTATAATCCTATAACATAAACTTGTATAATACTTATTCTACATTAGCATAATATATAGACTTCATCCAGCATAAAAAATAGGTTAAAAAAGATAATAATAAATAAGGACCACCCTAGAGGGACGGTGTAATTTAGTAATGCCTGATGCAAAATGTTATAACTAAGGCCAGTAGTCTGATTTGTAATTCTTATCTCTAGCAAAGGATTATCCATCCATCGCAGAGTATATAAGGTTAAGAAATCTTCTTTAGACTGCAATAGCCCTTCATGGGCTGTAATAGCATATAAAAATTAAAAAAATAATCTTATTATTTTTAAATAGTTATTCATTTATAAATACCTGTTTTATGATTTTATCTATTATTTCTTTATTAACAACAGGAATATCATTTTTAATATAAGTCATTATTTGTTCCATTCCATCACAAGAAAGTAGATTATCTTTATGATAAGTTAAGAGAGATAATATTATGCAAAACATAACATCCATTTGTTCAAATAGCAGTATATCTACAATTTGAATTTAATATAAATAATTTTTAAATAAATGATAGAAATCAATTTACCAAATATACGAGATACAAATCCAAGAGGAAATTGTGAAGCAAATATAGTTAAAAACCATGGTGCTGCATATAATGTCGGTGAAATATCACAATTGTCAAAATGAGCATACAAATCTGGTAAATGATCATGAAGAAGACGTGATAATTGATAAAGCTGTACTTGTAAAGCAGCCATATCAGGTAAATATTGTTTTCTTAAAGAGCGTCTGAACATAATATGTTTAAGCATCATAAAAGCCTGCTCTTCAGTCATCTATAAAAGTAAAATGAGATAAGAAACATTAGTTAAATTGGTTTTATATAATAATATACAACAAAAGTAACAATTAATATCATAAATAATAGTTAAATACTTACATGTAATAGCAAAACTCCAGCAATGAAGCATAATCCCTGACAATAACCAACCTCAGGGTCTAATAAAGAATATGCTTTGAGTAAATTATATAGTGCTAATTGACCTGGACCAAATGGTGACATAAAATAAGTATGATTTGGAAATGTTCTACCTAAAATTATTAATAAGTTATTGTTTGATTTTAAATTATATGTAAAATACTAAATTACAAAATAAGTAAATATAGTAAAATTAATATTACTTATTTAAATAAATAAGTTTATTTATAAGATTACTATAAGTTTTAGTATTATAAAACTAAGTCCTAGTAGCCAAAGCTGTAATTCAATCCAATATATTAGTTATAAATATATGAAGAGTGAATGTGTCAAAAACATATTTGTTCAGAAAACACAAAAAACGATGGTAACATGGGCATGTCTCACATAACGAACACCATCTATGAATGCAATTTTGTACAAGTAAAAAATTTAATTGACATTTGAAACACATACAAGATTGTGGCCTTTGGCACATAGAACATAAATCAAAAATAAAACAATTTTTCACTTTTTTGGCACATAGAACGTTTGACACATTCACTCTTCATATATAAATTTATAACTCTTTTGAGAACTACAGATTCTATGATAAACTGAAACATAATTTATAAAATACTTAATTTATTAAGAAAAAAGAATTATCCTTAACTATTCAACATAAATTTAAAATAAAGTAAAGTACAGTAGGGATAAAGTGAAGAAGAGTAGAAGTATTATAATAATTAATTAGTGTTTCTGAAACCCAACAGTGATTAAAATTTGTGGTTTATCTAAAATAAAAATAAAAATAATTTTTTATTATATATTTAAGGTTTATAATTTTCCAATCTACCTAGTAAATGTTCTAACAAAAATAATGAATAAACAATCATTCTTTTCGTTTACATTTTCTGTTCTGTATCCTAAAAACATTTTTATTTTACTATTCAACTCTAAAGAAAACTTTTTTCCTTCATAAAATTTATGTTAAGTATATTCATACATATAGGAGGGTCTACAGTAAGTAAGGAAACAGGTTTCTATTCTTCTCATTGTTTCTAACAATTAACCTGTTTCCTTACTTACTGAACACTCTGTATATTTAGCAGGCATAAGCTATTTTAGTGCCTGGAAAAATTTTTTTTTTGGTATTCTCTCTTTAACTTTAATTCTAATTTTGACAGTTTTTTATTTACCTTTTATTAAAAATGTGTTGCATTCATGAATTAATTTGTATTATTTATAATATTTTTGTAGTTAATGATTTTGAATTTAGTGGTTATTATTTTTACTAAATTACATATTTTAATTAGAAACTTTTATAAATTTAAAATATCTAATAAAGATAAAGATAAAGATTACTTATTTTGAATATATTGCTTTAAATTAAATACAAAAAAATTTTCAAATAACAAAAATAAATTACCTAAATCAATCAAAATAGCATGCTGAAACTTCGTTAACTGTTTTAACAATTTTTCATATGGTACATTAAAATTAGGAAATTTTTCTTGGTCGATAATTGGGGGAGCTGTGGTATTACAATACAGTTCTGCGAAAAAAATCCATACATCGCCTCTTTTACTTCTAGGAACACCTGGTCAACGGAAATCATTTTTATTATCATTTAACAAAACAGTCAAAATATCTTTTGTTATTATTTAATGTATAATAACATATATATAATAAAACATTTTTTAAACAAGTAAAGATAATTTTACCAAAATATTTATTATTTTTACAGTGTAGTGAAGAAATGTATAATATATATTGGATATATCAATAATTTTATACTTTTAATTTTAAAAATATTACCTTGTCTTATGGCTTGTCTCAACATTTTTGCATCATATTTACGATTTTCTTTATTAACTATGGTTTCCCAAACATCTAAATATTCACGTGCAGATGAACCAATATCATCATACTCTAATTTAATTCTTTTGACAGTTGCTTCTTCTTGCCTTTCTAAATTTTATTTCTTTTATTTATAATTAAAAAAAATAAATATGCACAGAGATAATTGGGTTAAATAATATAGATGATATCTAACAGTGATTAAAATCACTATTATAAAAAATGCTTTGATGTATATCAGTGGACTTTTCTTTTTTAGTAGGAATTTTTGGATAATACTAAATACATCATGAACACATCATATATATATTTTTTTTAAATAACACTTATATCTTTATAAAATTTTGTAAAAACATTGTAGTCCCTTCTTTTTGATTATACTATTAAACCTAAAGTATATCCATAAATATTTGAAGAATAATAATAAATGAAACAAAAAAATAGTTATATTGTACAAAAATAACATTTATTGTTTAATTTATATGGTCGTTTACATATCAAAGAAAAAGTGTTTGGACAATTTTTTTGTAACTTGTAATATACTAATAATTTAAAAAACCAAATATGTCTGTACATTTTCAAAAGTTAAGTTGAAAAAATTAACTTTTTGTGCAAAAAGTGCTATTTGAATCTTTTTTTGTAAGGAAGTAATGAGTCAGATATTTAAAAAAAATTATACCAAATAAAGAAAAAAATACCTTGGGTATCTATAAAAAAATTAGTTTTGATCCATACAGTTTTTAAAAAGTTATAGCTGTTTTAAGTAAAATAAGTTAAAAAAATTACCAATATCAAAAATGGTAATTCTTTTGGGTATTTTCCCCATTTACTAAGAAAAAAATCGTTTTTTTAAATTTTTGACATTATTTAAAAAAATGTGTCTAGTATTGCTCAGAAAAAATGAAAAAAAAATTAAAATAAACAAATCATAAAATTAATATTTTTTAGCATCATATTTGAGCTAAAAAATATATAAATGATAATAAATAAAGCTAAAAATATTATGCCTGTATAATTTTATTTATCTATTTTTTAAATAATCAGTCAGATTAAAAAAATAATACCTTTCAATTTAGTATTTTCTTTTTCCATCCTTATAAGAAGTATTTGCTGATTAATTGCTTTCCTCCATAATTCTCTTAAATCATCTTTATCTAGTTTACGTTTAACAATTTGATTATCTAAAAAATGATCATTATAATTTTTTTTTGTTAAGATTTTTTTAAAATTTATATTCAGTTCATTAAAATAATTTAGACTAAATTATTTTCCAATGAAAAACTAATTGTGCTTATATACAAAAAACTAAACTTTCATGTATTTCAGTAATATTTGTTTACAAAGAAACAAATGAAATTAGTGAACATCATTATTTTTTGAATACATTATATTAAGATTTTTTTAATTATCACTTTTTTTAGGACTTATTATCAAAAGTTAAAAGTTTTTATTTTTCAATTAATTTAATGACAAAAATTTAAGTCTTTTTAAAAAGTAAATACCTTCCAATATCATTAATACTATTTTAAATACTAAATTATCAACTTATTAAATTACTAATTATTAATACTACATTATTTCACATTAAAAAATATTTTATACATTGGTAAAAATTTCAACCAATATATAAAATATTGTCTATATAATATTAGTATACTAATAGACTAATAATCAAAATTATAATTTTGGTTGATACATTTCATTAATTTTATATTCTTGATATTAAAAATTTGATGCTTTACACAGTAATGAACTATTATTTCATTATTAAAATAATCTTAATAATCTAATTAATAATATACTTATGGAATTATATTATCTGATCACTACTTTGTTAGTAGAAATTATTTTCTACTATTAATTGTCATATTATTTTAAATGTTGATGTATTTTTATTTATTTATATTGATCACGCGTATTATAAAATGAGCCTTTTTAACAAAATATTAATATTTAGGTATAATTACAATTAGTACTTTTTTATTTAAAGAAATTATATGAAGTATCTCATAAAATCAAAAGGTGTTGATCAAATGACTTATGATATTCTTAGATATGATTTTGTGATATATAAAGGAAAAAAATTGTTTTAAATTATTACAAATTTTGATATTTAATATGTTAAAAATAATGAGTGCAAAATATCATTTTTAACTTATTTTTTGGAGATTTAAATTTATTTTTTTGAAAGTTTATATATAATAAAAAAAAAATTGAATTTGTTACCATAACTTTTAGCTCAACTTCAAGTTTGAAATTTACATTATTAAATAGAAAATTTTATGAGAATTCAAAAAATAGTATTGTTAAGATTACTATGCAGTCAGGAAATTGTATAATTACTATTGACTGTAAAATCATCAGAAAAGCTCAATATTTTTTTCATTTTTATTGTAATATATCTCTTAAATAGAAATTATGTCTAACTAACTTTTGATGTTTAAAAATATTCTACAATTGAAAAAATCAGAAATTAATTAATTGATGATTTGCTTCAACTAAGAAAACCAATCAATGTTAATAAAATCTACACAATTGATGGTATTATAAAATTTGATTAAAATTATACATTTTTTTTTTTTAATTCAGATGAAACTAAAAATAGTTTTTTTTAGCAACATATTACCAAAAAATTTGAAATATTATAGATTGGACAAAGTAAAATTATTTAATTTTGTATTTGAAACCTATTATCATATCAAACCTAATTCTACAATAAATACATTAAAAACACATAAAATTAATGATTTTAATTGTCTATATAGAAAATGTGGGCTAAATATCTTTTTAATTGATAAAGTGAAAATTTTTTTAATTCTTAAGGGTAATATCTTAAACTAAATAGTTGTGATAATTTGATGTATCGTTTAAAAAAGTTAGTCAAGTGAGAGTTGAGAAAATAAATGAGACCTTCAAAAAAAATAATTTTTATATGAATAAGAAATAACTTCACACGAAGGATACTACTATGGTGGGGTCCTTGATTGAAGTTATTGAATCTAATTGAGATAAAAATAAAATGAGTTGATAATTTTTTTCTAACTCAAAAACCTTTGTTAGGTATTTTAAAATAAAATAAAATACAACATTGAGAATTTAAACACAAAAACAGCATATTTTTGAATAAGGTAGGTAAACATTTTCACAATGAAAACAAATTCAGAGGTCAAATTTTTTTTTTTAATTAAAATACATTACATAAGCTTTATTTTAAAATATATATAAAAGTTTCAGTATTACCAGAACATTTAGAAAATTTTTTTGTGAAAAAGTTGCTATATTAAAACCCGCTCTGGGTTATATAATATATACCAAATAATGAGTAAATACCTAAGATTAGGTATCAATAAAAAAATTAGTTTTAATCCAAACAGTTTTCAAGAAGTTATGGCAGTTTTAAGTGAAAAAAAAAAAAGATAAAATGTCGAAAATTACCGATTTTTAAATTTGTAATTTTTTTGGAGATTTACCCTATTTATGGGGAACAAGGATAATTTTTCAATTTTTTTGACTAGATACAATTTGTGACCTGTTAACAAATCGTTGAAAGAAATTGGTTTGATGAGAGCTGACAAAAAATGGTAACTGACTAATGTATATATGGTAAAAAAAAACAAATCAACAAAAAACAACATAGTAAAATTAATACGTTCTCAGCTTCACATCAAAGTTAAAATTTCATTAGTTCATAGAAAATCAACAATCACAACTTTTATTTTTTAAATAATAAAGTCTAATATTTTCTTTATAATTTATATTTATAGGGGTACTCAAACAATATTGATACTTCGATACAATATTAAAACTATTTTTAGCTAAATTTGATATTGCATTAAATGTGAAATTTTCTATAAAAATAATACAATTTCTAATAATAATACATCAATAATAATCCAAATATATTTGATATGCATAGACTAGAAATCATATTTTATAATAAAATCATACCTAGATGCATACCTTTAAATAATATTATTGATATTTTCTCAAGATATTGTGATAAAATAAAGCATTATGATATATATACAAATATATTGTTTGATAACCTTAATATTTATAATTTATAAATAAAATATTAGAATTTAATATGTCAGTTATTTACAAAATCTTACTATTAACTTGTTTGTTTGGTGTAACAACATTTTTAAAGATTGCTTGGCGCCAACTTCCAGGATATAATTCATTTTGTTCATCTGAGTCATTATCTGATATTGATAATGATTTAGGTGACTGGCCCACTTTTAAAAACCTGGTTAAGTATGAAAATAAATTAAAGTATGTAATCTTTTTAAATTAAGAGTAATTTTAATATGAATAAAAATATATCACTAATTTCCCAGTTTCCAATAATTTTCTTAAATTCTACTATCACATTTTCAGCAAAATTTTAATAATATTTTTAATTTTCAGTTTGACATTATAATTGTTTAAATGTTTTTATAAATAGACATTAGTGGGTATTAACTAGTTAAAAAGTTTTTTTTTTTTTATTTTTCAACTTAACTAGTTATTTTTTTTCTAATAAATTAATTAAAATAACAGGAAAGCTAAATTCAAAATTTTATAAATAATGTAGGTCTTTATACACTGCTTACAATTGGTTTAATTAAAAAAAAAAATCGAATCTTTCCCTATCCGAAGTATTATACTTATAAAACAATATATATAATTTTCTGAATTTTTTAAAAAATAAGTGATTTTTAACTGATTTTTTTTAAATAACTAGTTTTAAAGATATAACAGTACAGCTAACAACAAAATAGACAAAACGAATAAAAAAAAATTTTGTTATTAGTATTTTCTTCCAATTAAGATAAAAATCAATTCTTAGCTTTCCCTTGCATCACTGACCAATAAAAATTATTTTTAGAAATTTTAGACAATAAATTAATTTTAAATGAAATAAACTTTTTTTAAACTAGTTAAGATAAAAAAAAATTTCAACTTATCTTTTAACTTAGCTAGTGAAATAACTTTTAACTGTTAATTTATTGACATTGTTCATACTTAACTTAACTTGAGTTAATCATTTCGATTAACTTACCCATGCTTGTAAATAGATGATACAGATATTATAAACAAAAATTTATTTTTATAACTAGTTTTTATGATTTATATTGCTGTATTAGTTTATAGTATTGATACAAAAAATATTAGTAATAACACCAGGATAAACAAATAAAAATATAACTAACATATTCATCATTGATGCTGGACTGCTGTGTGATTTAGTTTGTGCTAAAATAGGTCCTGATTTATCTGTAATAGTTTTAGGTATATAATTTTGAGATGACGATATATTTGATATTGATTTTGTAGAACTTTCCTGGTAAAAGAACAATACAGTGAAATATTAATTTTAAAAAATCATATCATGATAATTTGGGTTAAAAATTTGATTTCTGTATAGCTTTTACTATAAAAAGAAATTAAAGTTAAATTTGTTTATTTTGGTTTTCTATACAGTATTATATAAAGTAAATAAATGCATTTATATAGCTACAAATAAAAGTTTTGCTTTGTTTAAAAACAGTGTTGTATTTTTGAAATAAATGAGGTACACAAAACTAAAGAGATCAAAGTAAAATTTTGCAAATATTAAATAAATGCAAAATTAAAAAGTAAAATAAATATTTTTTTGAGTGAATTAACGATTATAATGAAATTATTTAAATATATTATTTACAGTGTAATTTCGTGGTGACTTCTTAAATCAACAAACTTGAGATAAATTCTTCCAAATTAAATTTAATTTTTTCTAAATAGATTGTCACTTAAGTATAAACCATTATACATAACATATTTCATTTATTTTATTATGTTATAGTGTAATAGTAAAAATTTGATACTCTAAAGCTATAAATATAAAATCGTTGAGAATATTTTTTTGAAAATATACAAAAATTTTTTTTCATTAAGATTATTTTTCTTTAATTCAATAATTTATCCATAATTTATATTGTCTATATAAATTTCTAACAAAATTTCGTAATATATATATATTGTGATTAAAATAAAGAAAAAGAACACATTGAATTATGGTCATAACACAAATTTTGTAACACTATACCCAGATTAACATAAAATAATTGACAGAACTTCAATTCTTAAGAAATTTTTAAATGTTTTTCGAATATTTATCATTTAAGACTTATAATAATTTGATATTTAGGTCGACAATATTTTATAAGGCAATTCTATATTTTATATTTATAGGCGTAGCCAAAATTTTATAATATGGACGAGTATAGTAAAAAAATCTAGAAAACTCCATCATAATTATTAAAATTTCTTTACAGTTGATTATCATTATTTTAAGATAGCTATACAAGGCATAAGGGATGAACATAAAAAGTTTTAAATAGTTAATAATTCAAGAATAATGTGTAACTAAAGAAAACCAAAAAAAAAAATGTTTAAATTATTATTACTTTGTAAGTAATTGAGTGGGTTATGATAAAAAAATCACCTGTATAGTTACACCTTTGATTTTGTCATGTGATGTATAGTTGAATTTCATTTTAAAATGGTTTTTTGGTTATTTTATTTTTATGTGTAAATATTTGTTTTTACTAATAAGTAATTTGATATAATAGTAATGAAAAAATACCTTGAATGATCCATTAGAGGAAGAGGTATCTTTAGTTGCTGCAACAATTCCAAAATCATCTTTTGAACTTCTTCTTTTTAATAATTGATCAAATGAACTAGTTAATGATCGTTTAGCCTTCATAAAAATCGTACTACCACCAAGATATTGATTTAAAAATTCATGTCTTCAAAAAACTAAAAAAATTAATTTTCTAATTTTTAGATAATTTGTTCAGTATAAAAACCTATTTTCAGCAGAATCATGAACATGTTTTGATTGTTTGCTTTCACAATGAGTTCTTAATACCATCATTAACAATTCGTTCTGCTCTTTGAGATTAATTTTATTTAGGGTTTCTAATCCATGTAGTTTAGTAAGTACCACTTCTTGTTCTTCATCTGGTAGCATTTCTAGCATTTTAAATATAACTGATTGCACCTTATGCTCATTTAAATCTTCAAAAAATAAATAACCAAATCAACTATAGTTTTTTAGTACTTATTAAATAATTGAACAGATGATTTTGAAAAGGTATTATTAATTCCTTAATATTAAGTTAAACAATAAATGTAAATACATTATTCGAAATTTCTGATAGCATTGTATTAAAATGTTGAAAATTCTGGTTGACTATAGTTAAATAGTATATAAGAATAAAAACAGGTAAATTGTTTGATAAAGAAAGTAGTTGTAAAATTTTTTACATTTATCATGTATTTTTTCATTTGAAAATTCATACAACGCTATTTCTTTATATAGCAGTCAATTAAATTGTGACAAACTATCATGTTGTACAAATTTAAAAATGTCTTGTTTAAAAAATGCCTGTACAATTTTATAGCTGCAGTTCAGAGAGATCATTTTTACCAAAACATTATTAAAATAATTCCTTTTGCCAGCCATATTTCAATTGTTCAAAAAAATCAAAATTAAGAATTACAAGAAGGATGTTCCTAATCTATGATAATTTTTGTTAATTTTAGAGTTTTGCATATATCACTCAGAATTTCAACTATTTAATCCATAAGAACTTAATAAGCGAATTTCCATTTTAAACAGTGAAAAAGTAGTACTACTCGTGATAAAATATTTTTTTGATAAAACTATTATAATTCAAGTAAATTCTATGGTTATAACATTGATAGAGATGTACAAAAAGTATTGTCACAAAATTTCATAAAAAAATTTCTACTTAATAAAAAATTATTATATAATTGAACTTATTTTTTGATCACCTCTTATACAGAGTGATTTACTTACCATGAACCACTTAATTAATTGAAATATAAAAATAATATTAATAATATATTTATTTGTTTCTTACAATTTTTCAATTATAAAGTTTTTTTAATGTTCATCCCTTATAATTTAATTTTTTTTTAATGACGACACCCCTATTTAACTAGCTTATATAATAGAAAATAATCTAATTTAGAAAATGACTGGTGGATAACACCTTTTGGATCAGTATTTTGGAATTAATTGACATTTAAAATGTCTAGATATAACAAAACAGCACCCACTCTTCACCTCCAGTTATAATTTATGTTGTTAATAACTTCCAAAATATAAACAGGGATGTTAATATTTAAAAAATTTAAGTTTACAACTCTTTAAATTAATAAAGGATGAGCAGAAAAAAAACTTTGATTGAAAAATTAAGAGAAATATTGAATTAAAAGAAACAAATAAAAAAATGATTAATATTATTCTTATTATTCAATTAATTAAGTAATTCATGATAAGTGAATCATCCTATATATATAATTACATTACTTTAAATCTAATAACTCTGATATAAGGGATGAACTTACAACAACCTTACAAATAGCACTTATTCAAGAACCAAGAATAAATGGTAATCAGATTAAGGGACTGAATCTAAGGAATCTAAAACTATTATATATACAGATGCATGACTCAACATCAAATAAGCACTTTAAGTGGTCTACTGACAAGACATGGTAAACTTGTTTAAACATCTTTACACAATGAGGGTCTCAGAACCACCATTGAGCAGGAAGTGTGAAATAGAAGAGGAAGACTTAATTCACATAATGTGCGAATGTGAAGGCTTATCCACACTAAGATCAAACTACTTGATTAAACCTTTTCTCGAAAAAGAAGATATCAAAAACCTAAAACCCAGAGAGATAATTAATTTTGCCAGAAAGACAGAACTCAGAGACATCCACAGGAGGCGAATTGATAGTCCACCCTTTATACAATGATAGGTATAATATAATAACACTTCTGTCATAATACATAGGAGTGTAAACCAAATCAAGACAATTCGGTATGAGGTATGCACAATGGACCAACAGGTCGGAGTACATGGGCATTATATCCACCTCTCTAATAACTAAAACTAAGGATAAACTTAATGAGAGAAGATTTGAGGTCATATGCTTCCTCCTTAAACTATCATCACCTACTAAAAGAAAAAAGGTCTTTCCAAACATAAGAGTGACTTTGGCATCTAAAAAATTGTAACGCTCTATAAAAAATGTCTACCCATGTATTACATAAATTTTATTTACTTTCAACATCAGAACACAGTTTGTGAAACCACACCATTGGACAGTGCTCACAAGATACAATTATTTGCTTCTCTTTTTTAATAACCCCATTTGTGTTATTATGAGCAAGATTAATAGCTAAAAATAAGTAAAAAAAATGATTAATCACATTTATATAGTAAGATTCTATGTATTTACAACCTGTAACTAGTTCATTCGCCACTGACTCCGATTCACATTTGAAAATGTAACCTATACAATTTTCAGTAGATGAAGAATCTCGACAAGTAAAACCAAAATGAAAATTATTTCTGTTTCCCTGATAAAATATTTAATTTTTTTTAGAAATTAATGACATGATTCATTTAAAGATAAACAATTTTTTGACAATTTCAATGAAACACATTCCTTTATTATTACTTTGTTTATAATATACAAAATAAAACTTCAGCAAATAAGCTTTTACAGAATTAAAAATTATAATTGCCTTTAGTAATAAAAGGAATATATGTTTGAGGATTTTCTGTCATTTTATTATAACATTATGTATAATTATTATATATAATTATAATGTTGATTTCTTTTGTATTAATTTTAATTTTTGGAAATTAATTGAGTATATTTTTACAAATTCTGATTATCATTTATCAAACCTTGTTGAACTAAACCATTTTTCTTTAAATAAAGGCTAAAAAAATATAATAATTTTTTTTGCAAACTGCAACATTTTTTTTTTATTTATATTTATATATTTTAACTTATTTTAATGTAAATTTTACCTTGACACAATTAACAACATCCTTTAAATGTTTGTGTAAAAGTATTTGTTTTCGATCAGGGCTTATTAAGTGCAAATCACTTTTTCCAATTTGAAAAACCATTGTTCTGTTACTTTCTTCTCCAACATAACAATTTTGCTTCTTTTAATTAAGAATTTCAAATTACTAACAATAGAGACATAAAATAAAATAAAGTTTATTATCAACCATCAGAGCCATAGCAAATATTTTTGGCACTGAATTATATGAACAAACCGTTAAAAAAAATCTTATTATTTTTTGAGTAAACAAATTTTTTCAACTAGTACTAAAATAAAATTAGAAATTCAATTTATATTTTTTATGTCCATTGTAATTATATAGCATCCCCTTTATGAAGGCACCTGAGACAAATGGCATATAGCCACATACTCACCATAGTCCTATTTAATAAATTAGCACTTAATTTGTTTCATATTCATAGTGAAACAAATTTGAATATTGTTAGGGGAAACCATAATAAGTTGATCACTAGGGAAATAGACACATATTATTGACCTTTTGAAAAATAGGTTAAAGTACAGTTTCGATTGATAAACCTTAATCATAAACTTAATTTAGTTTTAAACCTTTGGTCTAATCATAATCTTTAATATAAGTATATAAATAAAGTAAAACTTAAATAAAATAATTAAAAGATTAAATTCATATACATCAATATTACTTCAACTACCCCATTAATAGAATTAATTGATACAACATTGATTTTTCACATTTTTATCTGTAGAATAATTAAGATAAATAATTAGAGCAAAATAAGTTGGTGACTATGTGTTTTTCGAATTATCTAAGAACTTTCATTACTCTATCTGAAATATTATTGATAAAGGAAAAAAAAATATTAAAAGACTGTCAACCTAAACCAATCTTCCCTATAGTGAATAAAAGAATGTTTAAATGTATTTATACTATTTTGAATAATTGAAGATTTACTGTAGCTATATCTGAAGTTGAATTAAAAATAATTTTTAGTAGAATAGAGTAAACAAAAAGTAAAATAATAAATTTAAATATTTACATTATTTTCATTATTTTCATTTTTTCTGACTGGATAATTAATTGATTCTGATCTTGAACTTAACAGACTAGAAAAAGGATATATACATTTATATAAAAAACATTTATATTATCAACCTTAAGTTAATTTACTCTGAATTTTTTATATATTTTTCTGACTCAATGGACGAAGTGTAGAAGTTTTCATTTCCTGGAGATAAAACTGTCATTGAACCTCGTCTTGAGTCCGATACATAAATTGATGAATTTTGATCCGATGCCTAAAAATATAATTAACATTATTTATAAATAGAAAATAAATAAGAATAAGAAATATAAATAAAATTTGTACTCATTACAATTATATGAGATCCCCTTCTTGAGGAATTAGTACTATTTGACTTCTTTGATTTTTCTAATTCATGTAATCGAAATTTTTCCAAAGCATCATCAATAAAAGTACTTGGAACTTTTTTTTGTGAAACTCTTATTTTTCCAACATAAAATACCTGAAATAGCAGTCTTACAAATTACTGAAATACTAACTTAGCTTTCTTTTTTAAGTTAAATTTAGTAATAAGCTAGTGTACAAAAATAAGCATAAGAAAACAAAATAAGGTTTTATTTGATAAAACTAATAACTTTTTAACTTTGAAATAATTTGAATAGAAATAAAATGACGCACTGCAGCACTAGTAATGAAATAAAAAAAAGTGTAATTTTATTAGTTACCTCAAAAAAATGAGACGTGTTAGGTGATATATCCGCACATAAAGAAGTCAAAGTTTGGGCATTGCTTAATGAACGACCAGTGCTTTGTAATGTTTTATGTGAATTTTCTTTCATTGCAGAAAATAATTCCATCACCTTAAAATTATAAATTATAGATATTTTAAATTAAAAAAGATTAATACAGTTGGCTAAAAAATTAATGAAATATTGACAAAGAAAACAAAAAGCTTTCTGGGTCTTCTAAAAATAAATTTTTGGAAAGTATCCAAAGTTATTCAAATATATATATAAAGAATAGTTTAGAAATGTGAAAATCTTTCATTGAAAAACACATTATTATCAATGAATAATCTATTGCATCTTTCTTCCCAAAGACGCATTTAAAATTACAGGATCGAATAATTTATTAATACCATATTGCACAAATGTATATTTCATAAAAGTTATTTAAGAAATCATCCTATGCATTACTACAATGTAATTCATTTTTATACAAAGTATAATTTAGTTATATTTTGAATCTTATAAATGGTTAATATGTTAAAAATAAAAATAACAGAAGGACAAGGCTAACCGGCCTAATTAAAATAACATTCTAGCAGTCATATAGTATAAAAATATAAGGACAAAATGTATGTATTTTGTCTATCGACTACTTAAAAAATAAATTCGTTTAAAAGTGTATAAGTATTGCATTATTAGACAAATAATTATTTGTCTAACAATTTAATTATAATTGTTAAAAAGGAAAAATTGCAAAAAAATTAATGCCACAGGCAAACATTAGTCATTTGATAAACATTTGATAAACATTTGATAAACATTTGATAAAATTGGCAATTTAAGCTAATTCAAATGTTAAAATTCATTTTTTTGCCTAAATTGAAAAAAAAAGTGAAATAAGTTTAACTCTATATTCCATGCCAAATAGTTGAATATATTATTCATGAAAATGAGTGTACTTCCTTTATAAAGTAAATTGAAATAAATTAAAATACAATACCAAGAATTTTAACACAAAAATAGCATATTTTTTGAATGTGATAACCATTTTCATTATATCTCGACATTTTTTTAATTTTCGACAGCCATTTGCACATAGAAGATAAGATGTCGGGACAAATTTTTTTTTTTCATTTGATAGTATATAACATAACCTTTGATTTGATATATGTTTAAAGGACGCAGTATTCCCGGAACATTTTCAAAAGTTCAGTTGAAAAAGAACTATGTTTTTTACAATATTTCAAGTTTTGGACGCCCCCTATATAAGGGGAATTTGTCCAATATTAATAAAAAGTATGTCAAATGAAAGATGTACTTATAATGTATTTAGAAAAAAAAATTTGTGCTGATATATACATTTTTCAAAAAGTTATAGCATTTTTAAGTTGAAAATTTAAAATCGAAAATTTTAACACAAAAATAGTGTGTTTTTAACTACGGGTAGACTATTCCAAAAGCTACATTATCTGCTAGTTCATTATTAATATCCTAATTCAGATAAAGTATGTAGAATGAAAAAGGGATTATTAAAAAATATTATTTCTCATAAAAAATAAATTTTTTGTGAAAAAGTGGTCATTTTAAATCCCCTCCTGTGGGCAGGTAAAGGGTCAGATATAAAAAAAATATATACCAAATGATAGGTAAAGACATCATGCATCTATTAAAAAAAAATTATATTGATCCATACATCTTTCATCCATTCATCTTTGGTTTTACATCTTAGTAAAACCAATACCTTCTCAGCTTCGCATCGAAGCTAAAAATAAGTTAAAGATGACTTTTTGAATTGAAATTTTTCATGAATTATTTTTATCATATTAAAAATCAATAATAACTTAAAAAAACATTTTTTAGCTTCGATGCGAAGCTGAGAAGGTATTAATTTTACTATGATGTGTTTTTTTTTTTTTTTGTGTGTCTGTTACCACTTTTTCTCAGCTCTCACCGAACCGATTTCTTTCTATGATCGTCAAAAGATCACAAATCGTATCTAGTTGAAGACATTACCCTTAAAAATTGAAAAAAATTCCCTCGTTCCCCGCAAATGGGGGAAATATCCAAAAAAATTACAAATTTAAAAATCGCTAATTTTCGAAATTTTTTCACTTTTTTTTCTTAAAACTTCCATAACTTTTTGAAAAATCAACAAATCTACATCATTTTTTTTTATACTAAAACCTTAGATATTTACCTTTCATTTGATATCATTTTTTTTGAAAATCTATCACTTAACCTGCTCATTGGGGAGGATTTAAAATAGCAACTTTTTTACAAAAAATAACTTTTTCAACTTAATTTTTGAAAATGTTCCGGAAATACTGCGTCCTTCAAACATATATTAAATTAAAGATTATTTTATTTACTATAAAATGAAAAAAAAAAAAATTTGTCCCGACAGATTTTCTTCTACATTTAAACGGCTGCCGTTTCCCCCATTTTCGGGGAACGAGGGAATTTTTTTCATTTTTTAAGGGTAATGTCTCCAACTAGATACGATTTGTGATCTTTTGACGATCATATAAAGAAATCGGTTCGATGAGAGCTGAGAAAAAGTGGTAACAGACACACAAAAAAAAAAAAAAAACACATCATAGTAAAATTAATACCTTCTCAGCTTCGCATCGAAGCTAAAAAATGTTTTTTTAAGTTATTATTGATTTTTAATATGATAAAAATAATTCATGAAAAATTTCAATTCAAAAAGTCATCTTTAACTTATTTTTAGCTTCGATGCGAAGCTGAGAAGGTATTGGTTTTACTAAGATGTAAAACCAAAGATGAATGGATGAAAGATGTATGGATCAATATAATTTTTTTTTAATAGATGCATGATGTCTTTACCTATCATTTGGTATATATTTTTTTTATATCTGACCCTTTACCTGCCCACAGGAGGGGATTTAAAATGACCACTTTTTCACAAAAAATTTACTTTTTCAACTTAAACTTTTGAAAGTGTTCCGGAAAGTCTGACACTTTTATATATATCTTATTAATTAGGATATTAATAATGAACTAGCAGATAATGTAGCTTTTGGAATAGTCTACCAATTTTTTAAAATTAAACACTATCTAAAGATTTGCATCGAAGCGTTTTTTTTTTTATAGTGATTTTAATCACTGTCAGATATCATTATACTTGATCCATCTATGCCACGTCACCACTGTGCCGCGACCCCCCTGTGCTGGGTTTTTTTATCTTATATTTTTATGAAAATTTATAATTTAAATATATATTCTATATAGTTATATTCAGAAATATTCCATACCTAGTTTCACCTATCATTTCATCTGCTGTTGTGTGTTTGAAATTCATTTTATCTGGTAGGTAAAAATGAATTTATGTATAATATAATATATTAGCTTTGATGCGAAACTGAGCAAGTATTAATTTTATATGTGTTTTTTTTTTGTGTCTGTCACTATTTTTTCTCAGCTCTCACTGGACCGATTTTTCTCAACGATACGTCAAAAGATGACAATTCGTATTTAATTGAGGACATTACCCTTAAAAATTTGCCCTTGTTCCTCGTAAAAAATGAAAATCCTTCAAAAAATTTCAATTTTTAAAATTGGTAAATTTCGACATTTTTTAAACTGTTTTGTAATTTCTCCTTAATTCTTTTTGAGTTAGAATCATGCTTTTGAATAATCCACCAATTTCTTAAAATTAAACTCTATCTACAGTTTGCATCGCAGAGTTTCTTATGATAGTGATTTTAATCACTGTCAGATATCATCTATACTAGTCCTAACTATACTGCGATCTCAATGTGCTACCGTTTTTGAACATTATTTTGACGCATAATAAAATGTTTTAAATATTTTTAACAAATAATAAATAATATTTTTTAAATACAGATCTTAAATAACCTTAGAATTTGTAAACTAATAATAAATTTGATATTAGTAATTTTAAAACATATAGTTTCATTAGCCACAAAATTTTTTATTTTTTAAGACTTTACACTCCTTTGTATCCTTAAATTTCAATAAATTTAAAATGTGTTATTAAATTAGAAATCAGTGATCTTTAAGCATAGTAAAGAGAAATGTTCAATATTTTTCTTGTCTTAAATTAGTATAAGCTAATTTTAATTTCGGACCACTTTTGGTCGGCGGCGGCACTATTAGTCTCATTGTGGTACCGTTAAGAGGTGAATTTAAACTGAAAGGCGAACAACAATGCTCTACTTGGTCTTACTAGTCATAAACTAACGGATTTAAAGAATAAGTAGCATTTTTCATAATCTTTTGACACTGTTATTTAGTCAATTAATTTACGAGCTGAACGAGCCACATTTAATCCACGAGATTAATGACTATTCTATATCCACTGTTGCAATCGACTTCTGGTGAATTTCGAAGGATTAACTACTCATATGTACATTGGAATTCGAAATAAATATTCAAGGCTGTGTATCAGTTTAACTATATTTGGATTATTATTGCTATTCTAATGTATACCAAGTTACCATAAATTTGTTTATTTTAATATTATAATTAATGTTGTTTTTATACTTAAATTACTATTTTACACATTTATAATTGATTTTTAGTAACATATGATCTGGGTTTACAATTATTTCATGTTAAATGCACGGGATCCTATCCGACGATGAACTAATTAATAAAGTGTGGTTTGGAGACAAAATAGTGATAATACAGAAGAACTTAATTTAGACATATTCTTTGTTATAATAATTACTAACTAAAACATATTACAATCAGATTAGAATATTTTTTAGTTCAAAATGCAATGATGTTTGTTTATTGATAGTATTCATTCACTGTTTATGTTCACCGATATAGTGTTCGAAACTTATCGAAGGATAAGACAATTATTTTTTTGGAAACCGTTGAAAATTTAAAATTTTTGTCAAAGAAATAAATGTTTGATTCAAAAATGTTATAATATATTTATTTTATTATTGCTTGTTAAATTTAAGTGATTTTCGACCAATTTCCTATTATTAAATTGCTATTTAGCAAACAGTAGTTATCATTTCTCTATGATGTCATACAAACAAAATTTTATTTAAGACAATTCTTATCTTCATATTTGACATTTACAATAGCAATAATAATTACTGATAATAATTTATGATCCATTGAACCCATTGATTATTGCCTATTTTTTTTAACGCTTTATAAGCCCATTGAGGGCTGTAGCTGCTTCTCCCAAAGGAGTAAGTTTCTTGGCCATTGATACTCCGAAACGGGTGATTAGTCCGTCGCTGGATAAATATAATATAATACAAAATACTACATTAATTAAACAGAAATTTAAATTAATAGCTAAAGATGGGGTCCAAATCGGCGTAAAGCATTAATTCGTAAAAAGACTCTTTTTATTAAATAATTTGTATATTATTACCTTGGTATTATAAAAATCAAATTAATGATAAATTTCTATTTTAAAATCAAATTTAAAACGCAATCGACTTATCAAATAAAAAATTATAACATTTTTTGAAATTTTTTTTTTATCATATAATCAAACCAAAAATATGGGTTCCCGGTTAAGAAAATTAAAGTTTAGATAATTTATCTCTAAAAATATGAAAAAAAAAATTTAACATTATATTATTATTGAGTTTCTTTAATTAAGCAATAATTTCTTTTACAAAAATCGAAAATATTTAATAATTTCCGAGAAAGTGAGTGTCTTATCCTAAATCGATCACTCTGAACTTATAGTAAAAACTAAAAATATCAACATTGACTGTTTTATGAAAAATGTAAATTTTTTGGGACATTTCTCTTTATTACCGAGAATGATGGAAACATTTCAAAGTTATTACGCTGATAGCTTCATCTAATTACGTTTTGTGATCGTAAAGCAACATAAATTCAGTAGAAGGTGAAGTAATCGCGTATACAATCACAAAAAAAAAACAGCAAATGAAAACCAATTGCTTTTTTTCTACGCATCAAAAATAAAATATGGACTTAAGTAAAAAAAAAAATGGCACTATTTTTCACGTGGGAGCTTTTTAAAAATTAATAATTTCCAGTACCCAAGTAAATTAAATGTCAATTAAGCACAGACAATTAAAACATTTTTTTTGGATATACAAAGGCTATAATGGAGTTAAAAAATTATTATTCGGTTATTTTTAATGACTTAATTAAGCCATTATTGTTTGACAATTATTTTTTAATTACTAATTAATATTAAATTTTGGCACTTATATGCTGAATTATTCATGCACTTCTCCTTATCACTAAGTAACCAACAATATTTGTTAATATCTTCACAACATTTTTTTTAAAATTATTTTATAATTTTCTTATTAAAATAAATAAAATTTATACCCTCTAAAATACTACATAAATTTTTTTATTTTTTATAATATTTTAGAAATAACTTTTAAAATAAAATTTTTTTTTAATTTTTCACATTTAAATAAATCAAATAATAAGACCTACACTGACTTGCGCATATTTACTACCGGCTGTAAAATTACCGTTGGGTGAACCACATAATTAAGAACAATAATATTAATATTACATAATTATTACATTTCACTTTCATTTATTCATCCTTACATTTCTTAATAGAAAAAAATTGTTTTATTCTAGAATAGGTAAAAATTAATAATTTTTTTATGTATGTTGTATCATTACCCATTTAAAAAAAGTCATTTTAAATTTATGTCACTTAAATTAAGTTCTAATTTGGCAACTTATCATAAGTTTAAGACATTTATATTAATACTTACTTCATCAGGTTGAGAGACATATGCATAACATTCAACCATACAATCATTAATATCACGCAATGCATAAAAAAATGTTGCTACATCACCATTTAAAAAAGCTAAACGACTTATTAATCTAATTTCATGCTGAAACATTAACTTGCTCTTATTTTCCCAACTTTCATATACAAATAGAAAACCATCTTCAACTCCAATTTTCACCTTAAAATAAAAAAAAAATCATAATTGTAAATTATTGAAAGAATTAATCAATTAAAATATAATTTTTAAGATAAGTATAATAGTCTGATACTAATAGTAGCAAAAATATTTATTATATCACAATTTTATAATTCATACTAAATAAAAACGTGAAAGATATTTAATAGTTTTATCTATTACAGGTGTGAATAGGTTTACCGGGAAACCAAGACTTTCCTTGTGAGCTTCTCAACCATGTTACAATTTACTTTATAAGCGGTGCCCTCAAATTTTTCTCTTTTATTCACTTATAAATAAACAAAAATAATAATTCTAAAAAAAATGTGTGTTATATATATTTAAAACATGTATGACATTTAAAATATGTATTATTTTACCTCCTAATAATTAAAAATCAACAAAGGCTACATAAGTGTTGCCTATAACACCAAAAACTAAATAATCAAGCAAGGCTTATGTTAAATAAAACTTAATAATCAGAAAGTAATGCAAAATGCCATTATTTAATTTTTGCTTTGAAAAAAGGAAAAAGTAATATAGCTATTTTTTTAAGCTTATTAAAAAAAAAATAAAGAATTATAATTGTCTAACTATTACTTTAAATATTTGAATGACTTATAAGAGAATACAAAAAGTTTTAGCTCTTATTTTTTTAATGTCAATTTTCTCAATTTTATTGTCTAAAATCTTGGTTAATGAAAGTAGTTAAGATTGGATACAGACAATATCCACCACCAGTATGAACCAATATAATTTTAATATTTAATTTAAAGCAATTAGAATATATTTACTTTTTCTTGGTGATTTTTTTTCTTAATTTCTGCAATAATCCAAGGAATCATTGGATTTGTAATACGTTTGTCACTGCTACTTGAACTTAAATACACTACTTTATGCAACTTCATGATTTTCATATAATTCTGATATCTCTTAAGTAATAAAAATTTGAATTACATCGAACCTTTTTTTTTTCAAAAATATGACAGTTAACGAAATCAATTTTAAGAAACAAAGATCTTATAAATAAATGAATATTAAATAAAATATTTTAAATGTGATGTATTCACAATTTTTGACTTCGCTTAAAAATACGGTTGACTAAAAATTTATATTCAAAAACAACTTTTCCATTTTTTTAAATTTCACAACTGGTAAATGAGAGTAGCTGATAACATTCAACTGATTATAAAAAATAGACTGGATATCGCAATTAAAAGATTTCAACGCGCTATTATAATAGAAACGAGTTAATTTTCAAATTCAGTGTCAAGATTAATTTTATACTTGAATAACTTCAACAACAACATCAACTTTATTTTATTAGAGGTAGATCTATCGTTAACTGACTTGCTATAAAACTGATTAATGATGCTTACAGGTTACATATCGTATGACGTCCTTATAAAATAGAAATGATTCCTTGAAATTATTAGTCTGAAAATGGAAGGAGATAATAATTAAAAATACACATATATATAGGATGTCTTACGAGGTTTTTACAAATCGTTATAAGAAAAGTATATGGATTTGTCAAAACCTCGTAGGACACTCTATATATGTGTGTGTATTTTATATATACCACTACCTGTTGAATAGTGTAACTAAACATTAAACATCAAGGTTATTCATTTTTTTAATAACTATCCTCCAATAACAAGTTATGATAAACTGATGCCTTACTTACGTTTGCATTTAAATTACTTTTAAACTACGATTTGTAAATTTATACGATTTTATCAATTTTTTAGTACAAAGAAATGTTTAGTCTAAGTATGTGTGTGTAGAAATAAACTAACGTAACCAGAAACAAATTGAAAAACTTTTTATTATTAATTACAAAATTTCAATGTATATTTTTTTATTAATTGACAATGTTAACTAGCCTATTTACTTGTTAAGACAAATAAAATATCAGAGAATTAATGAGAGATGATTGTTAACCAAACCGTAATAATGTTCATCAGAGTTCCTGGCCATTTATTACATTTTCACCAATATATATATATATATATATATATATATATATATGGGTACATTATATTTTGAATTAAGCGCCCTTTTGTTGCCTCTAGCTACGGTTCTGATATTGGAATCGGTAGGTAATCACAATAACGTCTGCACTTTCATTATTTATTAAATAATGCCAAATAATAATTTTATGAATTTTTTTGAATAATCTCTATATTTTCATTGTCCTTCTTTTAAAATTACTAATAAATAGTTAACAAATATAAGTAAATACATTTTTTAGCATTTATACGCAAAAATATGCATTGATAGATTGTTTTATTTTTAGAAATAACCCCAAGTTTATCGACCATAATGCACAAAGTTTTGTCTAAGTGCATTATTTTTTTTGCTTGTAACTTAAAAAAAATTATACATTTTTTTAAAGGGTGTCAAAATAATTTTTGCGCAGCATGAAAAACCTAAATCTGGTACTCCCTTTAATGACACGTGTCAAAGCTAAAACAATTATTAAGGGACTTATAATAACTAGAAAACGATGTATTTAAAAGAAAATGGCTGATTGATAATAATAACTATTGGACCAGTATTTTGAAAGTCATTAACTCTTTCGTATAAAGACTGAAGGTTAAGTGCGAGTCTGAGTATATTTATGTCTACGCATTAATAAACCGCACTACTCCACCCGCGTTGTTTTAAAAATGCTAGTTCATAAGTTGGTTATCAACCAGTGACTTTCTTAGACCATATTTCAGTTTATAAATTGGTTAACCATACTATTAAAAATATAAAGTTGATAACCACCCAACACTGAACCATACATCATAGCTGGTCCTTAATATTGTGTACTTACACTCTGGCGTACTATCTCTCTCGGGAACTCCTTTTCTCATAAATGACCCCTTTAAAACCTCTCTCGATACTCTATCATACGCTTTTTCAAAATCTATAAATACCATACACAGCTTTTTCTTATTTTCCCTAAACTTTTCTATTAGTTGCCTCACACAAAATACTGGCTCTATTGTTGACTTACCAGGCAAAAATCCAAACTGGTTCTTAGATACCGATGTCTCATTTCTTATTCTCTTATCTATTACCTTTTCCCAAATTTTCATACTATAACTCATAAGCTTGATGCCTCTATAATTTCTACACTCCTGTATGTCACTTTTACCTTAAAATATCGGCACCACAATACTATTTCTCCATTCATTTGGAATTTTTCCTTCTAATAAGATTTTATTTAAAAGTGCCTTCAACTACCTTATGCCAACACCACCTAATATTTTCTATACTTCTACTGGCACTTCATCTAGTCCTACTGCTTTATTCTTTTTAATTGATACCAGTCTCCCATACCTCTTTCTCACTAATTAAATCTAACAGTTTCTCATTCCACGATAATGTCCTTTATAAATAAAGTGTAAATACACTTTGTGTATAGTGATAGATATAAAAATAATGATAAAAACATTTATGTGAAGAAACTGAATAAATATAATCTATATGAGGTGCATAAAATAGACCTTTTCTTTCTTACTTTTACAAGTTTATAGATTTCTTTCTCGCCTTCCTTTGTTCCTAGATTATCATAGAACTCATCATACCTCTTAAACTTCGCCTTACTTATTGCACACTTGGTTTCTTTGCACAAGCGTTTATACTCCATCCAATTTTCTCGCTTTTGGTCTTCTGCCATACTTTGAATTGCTTTTTCTTATTTTCTATGATTTTTTTAACGTTCTCATACCACCGCTAGGTTTCCTTGTTTCCTGGTATTCTACTCCTCTCACCAACAATCTCCTTTGCAGAATTCTTTACACAACTAGCAAATCCATTCCACACATCATTTATGTTTCCCTTGACATTCCACACCATCCTCTTTTTTACCGTCTTTACAAACTCTTTTTCATTTTCCCCTTTTAATTTCCACCATATGATCTTCGATTATTCCCCCCTGTTCCTTCTATTTTTGTATATTCTCTTTCCGGTACACCACACCTCCATTATCATCAGTCTATGTTGTGTATTTAAACTCTCTCCTGGGATAGACTCTCTTCCACATAAAATAACCAATCTGTGATCTATTTCTACCACTCTTATAAGTTGCATAATTTTTTCCCCTCTTTCTAAAATAAGTATTAACCACAGCAAGATTATACGATACTGCGAAATCTAGGATTCTCCTCACTAAAACCAAATCCTCCGTGTACTTTTTCATATCCTCAACTTTCATTACCTACATGTCCAATATAACATACGTGTTCCATTCAACAATTCCCATTTAAAATCTAAAGTTGATAAATTTTTAAAGGGGAAATAGGGGTGATAGGACAAAATTATTTTCTGAATATTACAGAACATAGGATACTATTTATTTCTGAAAAGAAAAAATCATATTATGTCTGAACTTTTGAAACATATCATGTGAGTCACATAGTTAAAGAATCACTCTGTATTTTAAGTATATGTTAAATTCATTTATTTCATGTCATTATTTAATAAAAGTACTCAAATTTAAGTGTATGGGTCTTTAACTTTAATTGAAAAAATAATAATCTATTTATTTAACATAAAACATAAACTAATAATTATGAAACAAATATAACAAAAAATATAAAGAAAAATATTAAAACACCAAATATTTTTATCATTAGCCAACGATTAGAGGATACTGATTGAAAATAACGTAAAATTTGGGTATGAGCAGCTTCAATACTTAGCTCAGCATCATGAACATTTGAATCAATTCTGAAAAGGCCATTAAAACTTCTTTTAATTTAAACATACAATATCAGTCACAAAAAATAATTAACTATTGATAAAATATAAAATTTGACCATTGTAATGAAAAAAAAAAAATTGATTCATAATATACCTTTCTACCATTTCTTCTTGTTCTTTAACCATATGTGCCAATTGTTGAAATATTCCCCCCAACTCAACAATAGTAGATTCAATATTTTGCATAGTCTCTGCTCTAGTATACAAATATTGATCCTAAAAGTTTTGAATATGTGTTTTAATGATCGGTACTTCTATTATCATAAAAAAACAATTTAAACTACTAGTACATACTGTGTTGTCGTAAACAGCCATGGCTTGTGACTGTTGACTAATTTGTTGCTGAGCTTGTTGATCAGTACTATCCATATCAATAGCACATTGATTGGAAGACATTAAAATAGATTCATTTCTAGATATTAATGAAGAAGTATCAGATAATGCTGCCAAATTAGTTCCTTGAGAAAACTGATCACGCCTATTTTTTGCATGTTTTAAGTTCTATCAATAAACATGATTATTAATAATTTGAAACTAATGCTCAATTTTTCCAATTATATTAAACAATTTGCTTTTCATATTTGTGTAGTGAATTGAAATGTTTGCTCAGAATTATAGCTTGACATCGGAAGCAGGATGGGAAATTATGTCAAAATATAAATTATTAAACATTGACACACAAGTGTATAACTACAATATCAGTATATACCAACTCATAATGGTATTACTATGATTAATTTTGACAACTCAAACATTTACTATTAAGTAGTAGTGTGTGAGTCTAAGAATAACATTAATCATTTAATCTCTATATGGAAAACTTTAAAGGGCTAAATTTGATTTTACTCCTACTTAAAAATATATTTATATCTAACTCTAAGTATTCTTCTTTTTCACATGTTAGTATAGACAAGAGTAATATTACAAAAATCATTAAATAAAATTTTACTTGTACCTTACACACAAAGATTATAGAAGTTTGAGGTTATCTCCGGAAATATAACTATATCATTTATAAGTGTAATGCAGAAGATAAATATTCTCATAATGAAAATAACTGCAGTGAACATACAATTTTGACGGGTGCATTAAGATTTTGAAATACTCCCAATGTTGACAAGAAAAAAAATTTAAGAGTGCTGCTTGCAGATTATGCAATAGGAAATGTTGACATTTTTAAAAAAATACATTCTAGTATGCAGTGTAATCTAAGATATTTTATTAAGTGATAAATCTTTTGATCCATTATTTTACTTTAAAAACTGGCTATTCATTTTTTTTTTCTTTTATGAAAATAGAATGAAATAAAAATTTAGAAAACATGGATTTAAATATAAAATTGACATTTTATAAAAAGAATAAGATCAAGTATTTAATGGATAGATAACATCATTTATAATTCTAAAGAAATGTATTGTAGTGTTGCATCTTAATATATAATAAATATAAGTTATACAATAATACAATTAGTAAATATAAATAGTAATTTTTAATTACTGTTTAAAATATTTATTGATTACATATTGAATGTATTTAAATACCTTGGTTCTAATTTCAAGAACTTGTTTAAATTCATTTGATATATTAGCTAATTTTGACTGTAGTGATATAACGACACTAGATTCATGAGATAACAAATGCTTACGACCAACATTGCTTTGAATAGCTTTTTGTAATTTAGCAACTTCTTGTAGTTTTGCTATTTGTTGATTCAAACTACTTAAATCTTCTTTGATAATGTATGTTAATTCTTGAATTTCTTGTGGTCGATCATTAAACAATGACTTCCTCTTAGCAACTAGTAAAAAGTTATATCAAGTATAAATTTTTTATTTAAAATAATGTAAAGTACAGTCATGTTTTTATATTTTTAGTTTTTTACATTAGCATAAGGTTTATTTTTTATTATTGAATCATGTTTTAAAACAATTTTAATTTATAATTAAAAAACAAAATTGTTGGGATAAATACTGTTTAGCTCACACACTAGTTTTTTTTTAGTCACAAGTGATTAGTTTTAATCTTATAATAAATTAATATCTATAAAAATATTTTTAAGTATTATTATAAAATAATACCTACTAATTTATTATATTTAGTTAAATTATTTTAATTCACCTAAACACAGTAAAAGAAATAATACTTTTAGCTGGTCAAAGTTATCAGCAACCAAAAATCGTGCAGTGAAAAAGATTGAAGTTGAAATTGAAATTAAGTGGCTAGTATTAAAAAAACTACCTTGTATATCAAAATATATGTTTTTGGGGTCACTTAATTCAAACATTAGTTAATTGAATGGCATTAATTTTTGAATTTCTCTTTACATAGGCTATTTGTATTATCACCTATTCCTTGTGTATAAACTTTCATATTAATATTCAATTTAAACGATAGCTCTATATTCTACTAATGGCCAGCTAAAACTAATATTCCATCCATAATTCAATTACAGCTATTTGGGGGCATATTATTAGTATATAAAATAAGAATATATATTCAGGATTATATAAGAAAAATAAATTCAACCACAAAAGACTCTAAAAATATTTGTCACCTCATTTATGGTGAAATTAAAAGTTAATGACTTAGTTATAGAAATCATGTGTGTATTTTAATCTAAATTTAAAATTATACCTACTAAAATTAATATAGACTCTTTTATTTTAATAAATACTTAGCATTTTTTTTTTTTTAATGCTCATGACAGGTTGAGACATACAATTATAAATGAAATAATCTACAGAATTAATTTACCTAATGACATAAATTAATTTTATGCCCATATATTGGTGCTAGACTATATTAATTTTATCAGTGGTACAATTTTTACATTTACTTAGTACTCATTTATAAATACTTGTAATTATTTTCTTTTTTAATGATAATAAAATGTTAAACTTTTAGCCAGTAAGAATTTGTATTACTCTCACAGTGTGGCATTTAAGTTAAAAAAATATATTTATTTTAAAATAAAAAAAAAGGGAGCTCATTAACTCAACATTTTTAAATAGACCTTAGGTTGTATGTAATCTAATTAAAATATTTTTCCTGTTTGTAAACAATGATATGCAACCTCATTAAAAGGAAATTTGATGACTTGTTTGTACTTCATAAACCTTTAAGCACAATGTAGCTTAAAAATATGTTTGTACTGAAATTTTATTTATACATATTCAAAATTTTAATAAGAATAAAGTTAGTTGATAAAAATATATACAATTTTGTGAAAGCTAAAAAACATTAATTCTGGACTTAAAATTAAGTCTAAATATAAAACTATAAATCCCATTACAAAAAATTACAGTATACCATTTTCAATTATACTTACGTAATGTTAACTTTTCTAATTTAGCATATGTATTACTTATGTTAATGCCGACACTTTTAGCTATCAACATAAATTCTCCATAACTCTGAAGAGCTTTCACTTTTTTGACATCTTTTACTTGAACAGCACGGGCAATCTGACGTCCTTGCAATGATCTGACTGCGTTATTAAACTCTACTGTTCGATCTCGAGGCATTATTTTATAAATGTCTTTTTCTAAATAATATTGATTATTAAAATTTTCATTAGAATAGTTATTGGAGACTTGATCAGAATTAGAATTTACTCTTCTTCTTCGGGTAGACATTTATAAAAATAACTTCAAAAATATAAATATAAATGTAAATTAAATATAGAATGAATCATTTATAGCATTACCAAACAAATTTAATATAATTGTTAAATAACATTTTTTGTGAGATAATAATTTCACATAAAATTTAAAACATGCTAAAAAATAGTTTATGCAAATTTATGAGTAATATCAAATAATTGTTTTAATTGACATACGTTAGCGATAAATTATAATTTCTTAGGTAATCCAGCTTCGTTAAAACTTAAAATAATCATACTATACTTGTCATACTTATTATTTACTAATTAAAATACGCTTATCAAAGCACACGTAATATCATTTTTCAGATATTAAAGATGTAGGGAACACCTAACAAAGCCATTCGACAAAACAACATTCGACATGTTATTACAATATTATTTAAAAAAACAAAAACCAAGGCAGCATGTATATCGTCTGTAGGCAAGAATAATGACGTAATAAAAACAAAATTTTTAATTTGACGAAACAGAGTAAATTAAACAACTCCATATTATTAAAAATTATAGAATGATATAAATTTTAATCATTAATTCATTTTTCGAAAGACATTCAAGCGAATACATAGTTAATGTATCATTCCCAGCTTTTAATTTTTAATCGTGTTGAAGCAAAAATCATATTAATTTATAAATCAATTGTTAGTCAATTTCATATACTATAAATAGATAGATTTCTTCTTGATCAACTTATTCAAAATATAAAAATAATTTTGATTATTTTTTTTATTGTTTTCTTGTAGTTACATACGATTCTCAACTAATAATTCATAAACAAGGATGTAACGTAATTGTGAGGTCGCGCTTCCGAATCATAAAATCTTCGGCTGTCCTTTAAATTACTTGAAGTGTTAGTGTTTAATTGTGCATTTTGCTTGATTATGTAAGCAAAGTTTTTTAAATACGTTATGTCTCTTGTTGATCATAATAAACATTATATATTTTATTAATACAATTTATTAACAGTACTAATAGGTGATAAATAAAAAATAGCAAAATAATCCAACCAGATCTATTAATATAAATAATTTTAGTATATTTAGTATAGACTTCAGTGTTAATTTTCTCAAATATTTGTCCATCGAATTCAAAATAATTAATCAATTTGTTGTGTAGTTTTCAATTTATCACATTAATATATTTGTTATTATTTAAGTAAAATATTATGTAATAACTAAGACAATCAAGTAATAAACAGAAGTGTTCTTCGTAACACTTCTTGTACATATAGATGGAATAAATTTAATATAAAAAGGTACAGAAACTGTTACTTTGATTTACTACTCCTCTGATTCACTTTATGATCTTTCAACAAGTATAAGAAGTAGCTTGGCATAAATTATAAATTTACAAAAAATCGAAGTATATTTATTTTCAACTTTGCTTCCGATATCACGAAGGTAAACTTATATTTCACAAATGATTTATTAGGTTTAAAGTTAAGTATAATAAGTAAATAAATTAAGTAGATATTCAGGAAAATCAGGTGATTACTAGAATAAAATATTATTGAAATAAATAACATCTTTAACGTTTGTACAAAGTTAATCAGCCTAGTCAAATTTTTGGGCGAGTACCTGTGTGGTTAATACAAATGAAGACTCTCTTGCGAAGATAAAAAACCCGCTTGTGGCTCCTATACTACTTGAAGTATTTATTAGTGATGGGCATTTTCGAATATTTTAAACTATCGAATTGTTTTTATACAACCGAATAGTGTGTTTTTAGCATAAACTATGAATTGTTTTTAAACTATCGAATAGTTTTTAAAACTATTCGAATGGGCTAGCGAATGGTTTCAAAAAATATTCGTTTAGTTCTAACTAAAATTTTTATTAAGTACACTTAATTATTATTATAATAATAATAAGAAGATAATTAACGAATACTTGAAATAAATTATTATACAATTAATAACAGTAAAAAGTACAATTTTATTTATTTTTAGTTTGTGAGTCTTGGTAAAAACTGATAAATATGGGTTGAAAATTAAAAAGTAGTTCTTTTTTCCGATGACTAATGATATATTTTCAGTTTTATCGGAAAGGTTTGTTTTATGCGCAACAGAAGTATTCATAAATACTAGTCTTATTTTACACTTAATACCTTGTATACTGTTCTTAGTCTAGCATTACCTGCTCTTTTGTCATATAAAGGCATAACACCGATAAAGAGAACAGCGCGTTTTAAATTTTTACGTTTGTAAAAGTGGCGACAACAATAAATACTGCTCCTCTTTAAAAATTATATGAACTATTTTTATTAGTCGGTTAATCATTGAACACTTAGCGTAACAATGTATAGAATATAAATTATAGATTTTAATATTTTCTTCTAAAATTATATTCACAAAAATTGTCTAAAATTATTTTTATTTGCTCAAAAAATAAAATAAAAAAATAATTTGCTAAAATTCATTTTTTGAATATAAATCATTCTTAATTCTCGAAATAATCATTTTACAACAAAATGTTTCGTAAAAAAAAATATGTCAAGTTAAAATTTTAAAAGATTGGTCTTATGTAAAATTATAGTCAGATTTATAGTTTTGCTGTTTTAATAACACTAACGACTAAATAAGATTGTTTAAAACTATTTATTCAGGATACTACGATAATAAATAGGATACAATTAATAATAAAAAAAATTAGTGATGGGCATTTTCAAATATTTTAAAAACTATTCGAATGGAGGTACGGAATAGTTTTTATAAATATTTGAATATATGTGTAACTATCGAATATTTTTACTAATGAATAGTTTTTGAATGACTATCGAATAGTTCGATAGTTACTATTCGATATTTCCCATCACTAGTATTTATTAACACGACTATCAGTACAAGCTTAGTTAACTACTGCTACCAATGACGTCATTATAATTTTAAGCAGACCTCTGCAAATTTTAAGTGTTGTAAATAATATATGAGCAGAAAGTATTTTTCCTGTATTGTAAGAAAGTCCCAATATTATCTTTGATGCGAATCTGAGAAGATATTAATATTACTATGTTTTTTTTGAAATGATACATGATATAATTACATACCAAAATTGTATATCATTTTTATAAATCTGACCCTTTACCTACCCACAGGGGGGATTTAAAATGACAACTTTTTCACAAAAAATTTACTTTTTCAACTTGACTTTTGAAAATGTTTCGGAAAGTCTTGACATAAAAAAAAAGTATATCCAATGAAAGATGTATATAAATACTACTTCTCATGAAAAAATTGTATTGATCCATACGTTTTTTAAAAAGTTATAGCACTTTAAAGTAAAAAATGTCAATTATAAAATCAAAAATTTTCACACAAAAATAGCATTCGGTAGCCGTTTTCACCATGAAGACAAGTCCAGAGGTCAAATTTTTTTTTTTCAAATTAAAGTACATTACATTAGCTTTAATTTAAGATATATATAAAAGTGTCAGACCTTCCGGAACATTTTCAAAAGTTAAGTTGAAAAAGTTAATTTTTTGTGAAAAAGTTGTCATTTTAAATCCCCCCCTGTGGGCAGGTTAAGTGTCAGATTTACAAAAAAAATATACCAAATGATAGGTAAAGACATTGAGCATCTATATAAAAAAAAATTATATAGATATGTTCATTTTTGAAAAAGTTACGGCAGTTTTTAGTAAAAAAAATTTCGANGATATGTTCATTTTTGAAAAAGTTACGGCAGTTTTTAGTAAAAAAAATTGAAAAAATTTCGAAAATTAGCAATTTTTAAATTTGTAATTTTTTTGGAGGTTTCCCCCATTTACGGGGAACGAGGGAAATTTTTTCAATTTTGAAGGGTAATGTTCAATTTTTATACACGTTTTCATAAAAATAATAACTACTTTATAATTTTTTTATAAAATCTCCGAAAAAATTACAATACTACATTATTCAATATCAATTTCATACTACGTTGAATTGCTTTAATAGATATTTATTCATAAATTTTACTTATAAATTAACTATTTATTAGGAATAATAATAAAAATAGGAGCTAATTATGGTTTTAGAATAATTAACCAATTTTTTCTTAAAATTAAAAACTATTTACAGATTTCCATCGAAGCGTTTTTTACGATGGTAATTTTAATCACTGTCAGATATCATTTATAATGGATCCAACTATACCTCGTCCACACTGTGCTGGGTTTTAGCTTCGATGCGAAGCTGAGAAGGTATTGGTTTTA